AAATAATGGTGTTTTTCTTATGAAAAACAAATCTAAATAAAGTCACGGCATGATTGCTGAATTTTAAAAAAAAAAAAATTTAATAAATATATTTATATCTTTAAAATATCTTCTAAAAATAATAGAAAATTTTATCAGCCTTTCTTAAGATAATTTTATATAATTATTTATATCTTATATCTATTATTCTATGATATTAGGCTGATATTTTTATGATTATATAAACTATTAACTAATTTCTTAACCAATTTATTAATGTTCTTTTTTTTGCATATCTTCTACATATTGGCTTTCTATAATAAAAAATTTTGATCTATATTTATAACTAATTTTTCATAGTAAGAGCTTAGCATTATCTGTTAGACAGTTATTGTAAATACTAGATTTATATTTGTAGATATGGAGTCTAACCAAACTTTTGAAAAAATTCGCGTTATATAAGTATCTTTAGGTATATCTTTATTAATAGAGGCAAAAAGCTTTTTATAACAAGCTTTAGTCTTTTGAGATGATTTCTAATCCTTTATGGCTTGTAGCAAAGTATGGATATTTCTAGAATCAAGTTGAGATTCTCCAAAGACAGAGAATATTACTTCTTTTATTCTTGAAGTTAGAGAACTTCGCAATGAATAATATTGTTGCAAAAACTATAAATAATATATTAAAATTATATTAATTATATAAATTTATATATTATTTTAGATTACAATTATTTAATTATATAAGAAAATTTGTTAACTATTTCAAATTATTTCGTATTAATTAAAATAATGCTTAATTTTAGACAAAACAAAAAAATTTAAAAATAATTAAAAGATTGCTTAATTATTAATAAATTTGCTATTATTCAAATATATTAAAACTATTTATAAATACTTCTAAATTTTTTTTATAATACGTATTCTAATGTTTTTTACTTATTTTATCTCAAAATTCAGTTTTATTTGCTTCAAGATAATCTTCAGCTACTTCCTTTAATTGATCACTCATTAGATAGATATTATATTCAATTAATTGTTTGGCAATAGCCTTATCAAATTGCTAATAATGAAAATTATTTAAAATATATTAAATTAATTTTAAAAATTTATAAATAACAAAATAATTACCTGAATAAAATTTGTTTCATTAGTTAAATTAAAATTTTCTAACATTCTGTCATCCAACTCATTAAGTTTTTATTTGATTCAATTTAATCTTTTATTTATCTGATTATTTTCATGAGTTAGCTCAATAAACAAATCCTTAAGTTCAGCTAATATAATATCTTAAAAAATATTATAAAAATAATTAAATTGAAATTTATAAAAATAGATTATAATCGAAATATAGTGATTTTAAATTAAAGATTTTAAGCATTAGAATGACTTCAAATATTTTGAAAAGTTAATTTATAGAATTCAGTAGCAGAAACTTCTGGCATAGCAACAGGTAAGGTAGTTAGTTCTAGCAATGATCCTAGCAAATTTATTTCACTTTTCTGTGATTTTTTTTGCATCATGTGATAAAGGATGAGAGGATATTGCTTTTATTAAATTTGAAAAATTAATTAAGGATAAAATAAGAAATAAAATAAAAAATGAAAAAATAATGTAATAGTAAAGGAAAAAAATAAAGAAAAAACTCGAATTATTGTGAAAGCATTAAAGAATTTTGAGAAAAATAAAATTAGGTAAATTAGTAAAAAATTAAGAAGGGGTAATAATGAAAGAGAATAGAAAAGTTTGAAATTAAGAATTTTGAGGTATATAGATATGTAAAATAGTAAAAAATTTAGAGAAAATTAAAAGAAAGTAAATTAAAAGAGAAATGAAAAAGATATAAAATACTCAAATTATTGCGAAGGAATAAAGAATATTGAGGAAAAATAAATTAGGTAAATTGGTGAAAATAGAGATAAAGATATACTTGATAACTAGTGTTTAAATGATAAGAATATAAAAATGATTTAAAAAAAAAATACGAAGAGCATAGAAAATTTTCAAGTTTATTTAAATATTTTCGAAATAATTCTAATATACTCAAATAAATATCGAAAGTAATATTTCTTTCCAAATCTATAATTATTCTATTATTCTGAATTTATTTGAATTATCAAATTTATTTATAGATTACAATTGTAATATATCTTTGATTAATTTGATTAATTAAAAATTCAAAATTATTTATATTTATAAAGTAATATAATAAATAAATTTGATAATTTTTTTAATATAATTTTTTTAAATTAATTCATATTGAAATAATAGATGCTATTTATAGAAATCTAAAAATTTATTTTACTTTTATTTATTCAAGATTTTTATGTAATTATAGAGATTTATTAAAATATATAAAATTTTGATGATTAAAATCTTTATTGATAAGATAAAAATTTTAAATCTTAAATATGTTGCAAGTTTGTAAAAAATGATAATTAAAATAAAAGTATAACAAAATAGCAAATAAAACTATAAAACTAAAACCTATTTAATATTGATTATTTGAAAAATATAAATAAAAAATATATATATTTGCCTATTAATCTTTTTTTCATTAACGTTTAATTATTGTATTTAGTATAAGTAATCAAAATAACTTAATTCGTGATTCATCAAAAATGGAAAGAAAATATATAATGTAAATCGGGGCAAAATTTTAAAATTTAAATATAAATCAATTAAAAATCGCAACTTTCGAAGTACACAATCTGCACTTTTTTTCACGTGAGAGCCTAAATTGTATAAATAATATTTACAAACAAATGCTACTAAGTCTTTTATCATAAGAACAAAAATCAACGTTAATTGACTATTACTACGCTATTCTCGTTCCGGCTTAAGATTATGGGTAAAAAAATAAGCAGAATGTAATGATTACGATGGACAAAAGGTTCAATAGATCAACAAATATAAGTTAAAACTTTTTTTTTTTTATTTGGCACTTTGCTGACTTGAAGCTGTTGCTTTGGCTTTTTTTGCCACCTTCTTTTTATGTAATGATGAATACCTGCTAATCCAGTTCTCAATCATTTTAAGCTGTGGAATTTCTTCGGTCTCTAACTCTCCCATTTGCTCTCTTTGTTGCAGATCTTGAAGTATGTCTTTTGCTGTATATCACTCACTTTTATCTTCATCACCAGCATGAAAAAAGCTTTTTAATATTTCTTTTACAGTTTCTGTCATACATTTGCCTCCTCCTTTTTTTCTATATATTTGATTTTCTTTCAAAGCCTATTCGGAATAAAAATAATTTTTATTCTCTAAATTTTCTTGTTGAATTTGTTTTTTCCTGTCTTTTTGTTTCTTTGATTCTACTGTTACTTTATCATTTACCTCATCATCAACCACTATATATAATTCGTGTGTATCATTCATCTCTATAGATAAAATTTGATCAATATAGTGTAGAATGAATATGCAAAATAATAAAAAAAAATTTTTTTTTTTGTACCTTTTATCATAGTTGATGTTTCTTGTTGAATATTCGCCTTTAACAGATTAATCAAGTTTCCTCTATTTTCTTTAGCATCATATTCCAAACTCCTTTGGTCAAGTTCTTTTTTGATCTCTGATATCAACAATCTAGTTGGATCTGGGCCTATTATGAACAATCAATTCAAGTAAATATTTTTTTATTATACAAATGCAACATCGATATTGCAAAATATTTTTAGTCAATGCAAATAGTTGGTTGTAATATACTGCGATGCAGTATATTACTACTAACAATTTACTTTGACTAACAAAATAATATTGATCATTGCTATTACTATTTGATGGTAAAGAAACTGTTCAAGATGAATTCATAATAGTATGGTCTGATACTTTAGGATTTGAACAGAGTTGTTCGATCTCATCTCTTGATTTATTAATAACAGCAGGTGAAAAATTGTTCCAAGTACCAAAGTGAGGTAAAGCTCGTGCACAAATAAAACCTATAAGTTCTTCTTCTATGGGCCACTTAAACTCAAACCAATTTGATATTCCACTGAGCTTGGGTTTTTTGATACCCTTGTAATTTCTATTTGGTTGAATATTAGCAACACTTGTGCCTTTAATATTCTTAATTGCCTCTACTATATTTTCTCTCTCATTTATATTATAGCCTAACTGAACATAATGTTTGATAGCATATGCAATCTGAAAGTTAATCGGTTAGTTTATTATTATATACATGTATTATATGTCAAATTAATATTTGCACCAGATCAAAATAGTTATAATCTGCCAATAGTTCTAATATTTACTTCTATTCTAATATAGACTCCCACCTTAATCCTAATATTATAATACTTTGAATTATATTTTGATCTGATGCAAAATTTAATCTGGTGTATGGTATATATAATCTAATTATTTCAATACTAGTATTATAAACTAAATTATTTTTTATTTTTTGAGGTCTCAATTTTTAGATATATACAAGTTATTCTTATTAGAGCTTATGGATTTCTTATTTGAATAATTTAGATTAGCAAATATCTATTTGAATATTTGCTGAATGACTAAATTATTCAAATAAATACTATTTATTCGAATAATATATATAACATATAGTTGTTGGATATGAAGCAGCTAATAATATGTACTATAGTTACTATATATGAAGCAGCCATTGACTGTAGTTTTATATGAAGAATAATAAAAATTATTCGAATAAATTTGCTTATTTGAATAAGATTTGTTTATTCAAATTATTCATCAGATAATTATTTATTCGAATATTTACTAAATATAAAGTTTATTACTTTATACTTACTTAGATATGATGCGAATCAATAGTTATCTTAGCCTCTTCAGCTTCTAAAAAGGTCTAACTACGCACCTCAATATCATATCATAATTTCCAATTTGCAATTATTGACATTAATTCAGCGCAATGGTAATGACCACTATTATCTGATATAATTTTTATCTAGGATGGTTTTTTGCTAAGATTATTGAAGACAACTTCAAATACTGAAGCAGTAAACCATGCATCCTGAACTGTATCAGATGACCAATGGTCAAAGGCATGAATTTCTAAATCATCTTGATTAGTTTTTTTAGTATATACTAATGTTGTATGTAAAGACCATCCAGATTTACCATAGAAGTCTGACTTAACCTCCCGTGCTGATTTTGGTAGAATTTTTATTTTATAATTAACAACAATAATAGTGCTATCATTATCTAAAGTAAGTAGATTTGCATTAAATTGTGTATTTAGGTATGTTTTGTGAGCTTGATGTGACCAATAATACTGCAGTTTTGTTCGATTTTTAATAATTTGTTCGGTATCATCTGGCATTTGAATAACTAATAAATCAAATAATTCTGATATTTTATTACATTCTATATAGTTAGATTTATGAGGTTCTGAGCATTGACCAAATGCATTTTGAAGACAATGTTCAAGACATTCAACATGTGGAGTATACCCAAATGGATCTACTTGTAATTCTTTTTCATATTCACGTTTTAAATGTCTTTGTACATATTCAAGATCGTCAATAAGTTTATTCTAAAAAAAAAATACCAATATAATTTTTTATTAGAATCTAGTTATTATTACTATATTATACTATATATCTGGATGCCGCCAAGTAAAAATCTAATATTCTAAATATAGATTTCTATGGACAACGGAATGCAAGATTTTAATTGATCTAGTAGTAATTAAATTACTACTAGATAAATTAAAATTTTGCATTCCGTTGTATATAGAAATCTATATTTAGAATACCAGGTTTTTACTTAGCAGCATCTATCTGATATATATTGTTTCTAAGTTATTTTTTATCTACTATAGGCATCTGAAGTTGTATTTGACTAAAGATAAGTTTTTGAAATTATTTATTGTATTTGCATTTCCAGTATTTAAGTACTAAAAATAAATAAAGATTCTATCTCTGTAGATTGTTGAATAATGAATAAATACTTTATACTTTCTATTCTGCATTAATTACAGTATCTGAAATTACTTATTATACTTTATTTCTATCTCTTCAAATTGTTAGAGACTAGATCTATTGAATATTGTTATAAATATTCAGTGAATATTTATGGTTTTGGTTATTTATGAATATTATTAAGTGAATATCTGAATTTTAAATAGATATCTATAAAGATATTCATAAATATTCATGAATACTAGAGATGAAACGGGTTTAGTGATTAGACTCATCAAAGAAAATATAACCTAGGTTACCTGATAGGTGAATACACAAATTACTCAGTGGCATTTTTTTGATGAGCCTAATCACTAGCTAATCTGAGTTATATTGATATTCAACCTATAATTATTACTGGCAACCTGTGTTACTTTTTCTAACCTGAGTAAGAGCTCTAGTCTCAATAGTTATGAATATTCACAATATTCACAAATTTAACCTAAAATATTCATGAGTTTTGTATAGCAGATTATCAGTAGATTAATTTTTTTATTAGGTTATTAATTATTAACTACGAATATTCATAGATCCAGTCTTTACAAATTGTTGATAATAAATGAATGTATATTTTTAGTTTCATATTAGACAAGTAATACAATATATGTATATACTTACTTGTTCATTTTTATATATAATTCTTTTATTAATTAGCTCTTTCAAGTCATCAAATATATTATAACTATATTCAGCACATGTAAGACACAAGCCGCCTAGATCATTTTTATAACAATAGGGTCCATCTCTTAACCGTGTTAAAAATATAGTTCTTTTTATTCCATTTGGATATAATTCAAAATATTTTTGCCATAATGTTTCTTTTTGATCTTTGAGATATTTCAACGGTAATCCATATTTGTTTACTTTATAAGAGCTTAGGTTTACTATATTCTTATCAGAAAAAAATTTTCAAATTGTTTTTCACTTTCTTCACTAATACGAACTCTTGTAATTGTAGGTTTGTTATACATTAAACACCCTGGACCATTAATATTACAATAAGCTCGAGCTTTAGCAATTGTTTTAGAAGAAACCTATTGAGTAATATTGAATTATTAGAAATAAATAGTAAAAATAAATTCGACAAAGCAAAACTCTGTAAGTAATAATTGTAACAGATTAAAATGAAATCAGATTAAAATGAAATTTTTATTAATGTTATATAAAATTTTAAAAATTTGTAGAGTACGGTATATTTTTTTGGAATATTTTTAGGATTAGAATTAGGATTTAGGGCTAGAGTTATTAATAAAAGAGTATAAGTGGATTCTATAGGCTTTAAAAGGGATGTAACAAGACTTCAAATTTCATTTTAATCTGATTTTATTATAATTTATAACATAATTATATTTTTATTTCAGCAAACTTAGCTCATACTAGAATTGTAATTAATTACTATATAATCAGTGTTTTGGTTATTTTAATAGCATATTAATTTGATACTTGAGTATTACTAATAGATTTTAATTATTGATCTAATTTAGCTCCAATATATCGGGCTTTAAATTATATGATATTTTGAGCTTAGTTTCTAGAAAATATAATTACAATATATTATTGATTATGAGTAAGTTTGAATATTATATAATTTAAAGTCCAATATATTAGAGCTGAATCAGATTAATTCTTTAGAAGTATTTATTTGTATCATTATATTTTGTATATTTTACAAAATTTTAGTAATTATTATAGTGATTAATTAGTGATATTACAATTCTAACGGGGGCTAAGTTTGCTGAAGTGAAAACTATAATATCACTTACAAGTTTTGCTTTGTGTATTCTAATATATAATCTTTATATATAAGGTAATTTTTTATACTTTAAAATTTTGCTAAAGTTCGTTATAACTAAAGTCATTTACAATTATTGAAAGGATTTGAATTTTTCCATCTATTCCATTTTTATTTTCATTTAGAGATTTTTGAAAACATTTCCAAAATTTAGAACTAATATCAATTATATAATTTGGTATAGTACGAAGAAATCCACTATCATACAAAAGTTGTAAGGTATTTTGATCTATATCAGAAATAGAACTATGTGACCAAAATTCATACTAAAAAAATAAAAATTATTTTTTAGTCTTATATTAGGATTTTATATATTATTATCAGAGTTAGTCAAATCAGTAGTCGACTAAAAATTTGCTAGTCAATGGTCAAAGGGTTCTTGGTCAAACTAGTTTGGTCAAATTGGTCGAATGGTCTATTAATTAACTAGCTATATTATCAGTTATTTATAGTATATATAATGATAATAATATATATATAACATAATATCATTTGATTAATTTGACTAATACTAAACCCTTTGACTAGACTAGTCAAATTGGTCAGGTCAAGTTTGACCATTGACCAGTTCTAATTATTATATATATTATAATCTTACCTCTGATTGATCTTTTTTAAAAGGCGTTATATTTGTACATCCACATGCTTTTGCATAGTTTTCCAAGCACATATTTCATGTTCACTAAATTCATATTGAGATAGATATAATTGTCGTAACTTTTCTTGCAATTCAATAATTAGGCTTTGTTGGGTTAACCATTCATGAAAAAGGTTTTGCCAGTTTATATTTGAAATAGTTTTTTTTCACAAATAATAATTATACAAATTATTCATTAAAATTTCATTATTCCATGCACTTGGAGTACAATTTAGTATATTTTGATCACTTATAATTTTTTGTGTTAATGAATGTTCGAGCCCAAATAATTGTGTTCCACAAAATTTTTTATACAAGCCAATATTTTTCCAAACATCATCAGGTGTTTTTCCCAAAATAAAAATTGTCTCATATTCTAATGAGTATATTGAAACTTTACAATTATCTTTTTCAATTGTTTGTACAAATAATGCACGTTTTTTTTTGAATTCACCAAAAAAAGAAGACATATATTCAATACCAGCTCCCATCATATCTATATTACTTCCGATTCCTAAACTAATTACATTACTAAAAATTTTTCAACTTTAAAACCAAATGGACGAAATTGAATACCCTCTAAAGATAATTCTAATAATTCGCTTTTATCCTATCCTAATACAAATGGACTAGAAAATTTAGTTTTTGAGTTTAGAAAAAGTTTTTGATACAAATTTGTAATCGCTAAACTTGATGTTACTTCAATACTACTATAGTTACTACCTGACTAACTTCTATATCCCAGTTCCATTTCATTAAGTTCATTTCCTTCGATAATATGCATATAGAATCGTCTATTATTTTGTTCAAAAACAGTTTGCCAACTGATTTGAATAGGATAAAGAAAAACACCTTTTTCTATTAAACTATCATCTTTTACCATCTACCAATTATGAGAATTAACACCATAATGCACACTAGGTATTATTTGACCAAGAGAAATAAGATTTATACTTAAAAAAGGCCTTTTTGACATATTTATGACTTCAAATGAGATTCTGGTTAGAGATTATAAACATATATATTTTTTTATAAGTTAATTATCCCGAACAATTACTATAAAATTAATTTGTAGATCTTTCTATTTCTGGTGAATTATAAATTAAAAATTAATCTGTATTAAAAACAATGAAGACTATTTAAAGTAAATTTCAATATATTTATAAGCAAGGTCTGGTGATCTTAGTGTAGTGATTAGATTGCCAGACCGCTATGTAGAGGTTTAGGGTTCAAATCCTACTGTCGACGAAATTTGAATTATACTTAGGCTGAACTAGTACCTTAATTGGTATAGTAAACTCTGTTCATTTCTGGAGCTATAACCCTGTAAGTTAAGTTAATACTAATGTCAATCGGATACTTAGTAGTATAACGAAGTGCTTTGGTAACGTAATGTTACATAACATATAAATCTTAACAGAATATACGAGCAAGGGACCTGTATGGTAAAAATTCTGAGTAGGTGAAGTAGTACGGCTTTTAACAGTTAAGCCAGTTAACATTTGATCTGAAGCAAAACTTAAGCAACAGAAAAATGTAGATCAAACTAGATGCGAGTAAGTCTAATCCACTAATTGGCAATACTAACTTGGTGTGGCAGCTAACTAGATTTGGGAGAATCTAATTTGTGAAACATTTGGATGAAACTAAAGTGGATACCAGTAGAAAGCTACAGCAAGAACTGGGGTTATACGAATACTGACAAGGGTAACTATAATTCTCCTAATCAAGTAAGGTTACTACAAATGTAGAGAGCAGATCAAAATTTGGAGTACGCTTGTAAAAATTCAAAATAGCATGATATACTGAACTAGTAGTGGTAATACGAAATACAAAAGTACACCAGTCCACCAGAACATCAATTATGTAGTAGTAATACCTTGTATTACGAAATCTATGACTGGAAGTAGCTTATATTGCAAAACATATTCTGGACTCTACTAACACATGGAAGTACCTGTAAACAGAAAATGATATACATACAATCTATATCTGACACTAAGTTTGGAGGAGATCTGTATCCTGGCAATACCATTGAAGTGATTACCCAAATGCTACCAAATTGGAAGTAACCATGAGGTTACGAATACCTCAAGCCTAGTAGTCACCAAATTGAGAGTCATTTATAAGGAGTATAGGAGATACAGTGAATACAGCATAGTAGTCATACTTGAGAAAAAGAGGTTATAGAAATCTAGGTAATACATAGTTGTAGGCTATAGACTACTCTAGTAGATCTTGTACAAGGATAGATAGTACATATAAATGTACTGTATGTCCTAAGCTTAACTTAGTAAATGTAGATTAGTTTGAAATTATAATGTAACAATTGTAATAGATAATTTAATTCGCAATAAATAAATTGAGCTGAGTACTTACCTTAACGTAAAAAAAAAAATATATATATATATATATATTTATAAACATTGTATATTATACAATTGATAAGAAACTTATTCTAGATTTTTATGTAATCAGGGATTTTTAAATTTACTAATATAATTTAAATTTAAGGAGTTTATTAGAATTATATATAATTTAGGATAATTAAAATTTTTTGTAAAGTTCACATATAAAGCTAGAAATACTCACAGCTTTTGTGTATTATTCAAATTATAATTTTAAATATATTAGAATATTCTTTATATATTTTTTCAAATTTCGCAAATATTTAAAATAATTAAAATATTTTAAAATATTTAAAATTTAAATAATGAATTACTTGATATTTAAAATTTATCTAATTGCAAAATTCTAGAATATTTCTATTTAAAATAGAATAATACACAATATATAAAGATTTTATTAATATAGTAATAAAAAGATAGGAGTTAATCTTTTGAGATATTTTCAGTTTTCGTATTGTTTTAAATTATTCAAAAGATACTTAGATATTCTTTTGATATTTATTTAATATATTAAATTTAAATAAATACAAAACTTTTTATGAGCAAAAAATATTGTTGAATTCATAACTAATTATTAATTTTTGAAAATTTTAATATAATTCAATTGTTTCTAATTTTCAAAATTTCACATACTTTCGAATTTTTTTTAAATATTTATTATTTAAAAAAATGAAGTACTTAATTAAAATTTTATATTTAATCCCTTAAATATTAAAAATTTCTAATTATATAAAATTATAGAATCCTTCTATTAACAATAGAATAATACACAAACTTACTTTAAGTAGTCTAAATTTTTTTACAATATGAATTTAATTAATTTGATTATTCTAAATATAGTAATAAATAATTAAGGCTAATCATTTAAGGCAATTTATTGTTTTGTATTGTTTTAAATTATTCTTAATAACTTTTTTTTTTTAAATTCAGTAGCTATGTCTCAACTTTATTCAAACAGTTTATGAACAAACTTTTTACATTTGAAGTAATCTTCTAATATGTCTGACTAGTAAGCTAAAACTTACCTGGTTACTCCAAAGGTACTTATGTATAGCATGCTATAGTTAGTCTTTTAAATCCACACCATTAGATTTAGTAATCCAAGTCTTCTTGTGTTTTAGATAGTTTCAACAACCCCCCAAAAAAAAAAAAAATTGTTACTATCTAAAAGCTCGAAAGCTAACTAACAAAGAAAACTTTGCTCCAAGTTAAAAACTTTGTTAGGCAGTAATATAAAAGAAAGGGCTAAAAAAAATGAACAAAATGAAAAAAAACAAATGTTTCCTTTAACCTAGACTAGGTTCAAAAATATTAAGTCAGCAAACTTATAACCTATCTTAAATTATTCTCTCTCTAACATTATAATCTATCCTTATTGCCTCATAATAGTACATCGATTACTATTCACATCTTCTCATATACTTGTAGAACTAGTTTTAACAAAACAAGCAAAACAAAACACATGTTTCTATATGTTTGTTTACTGTTTTGTTTATTCTTATAGTCATGCACCTAATGAAGTATGTCTAAAAATAGATATGATAAACAATACTGATTTTTTATAGGGAGGAATCTAGATTCACTACTTTTGTTGAAAAAAGTAGAAGACCAGTGAGAAAAAGCTTGCAGTATATAGTTGTTTTCTAAGACTTTAAGAAGTATATAGACAAAATATTCAGTTGTTCCCCTACTTCTTAAGTCTTCTTTTACTAACTTCGTCAATAAAGAACTTTGTCCTAAAAGTTCTTTACTAAAATTTTTTATATAAGAGCTCCATTTTCTGCCAGTTATCTTATATAATATCACTTCTAGCTTGCATACTGAATATACAAAGGAGTCTCTAGAGAGAAGTAGAAGCCTAGTTGACCTTTGTAAAAACTGTTGTTATAAAAGAGTCTTCTTCATCATCTCTAACAAAATTTTTGTTTTTTGCTTTTTTAAATTTTTTTAGGAAAAAGGATTATTAGAAAGAGTTGTACAATCAATTATTCTTAATAACTATTTTTTAAATATTAAATTAATTACATGCAAAAATCATTAATAAGCAAAAAAATATTATGAATTTTAACAATAAATTTTAATATTTTTGAAGGTTCTTTGCATAATTCGAATACTTTGAAACTTAATAATTTTTTAAAAAAATAAGAAATTGAATAGCAAAGCATTTAATTAAATTAGAATAAATAAATATTTTTTGATATTTTAAAAAATAAGAAATTAAATAGTGGAAAAATATATAAATAAAGGCGAATTTGTTTTCAATCAATCTTTGTAAAAATTTTTGAATTTATTTAATCAAATAAAATCATATTCTATAGTACATATTTTAATAAATCTTATTTTCTTTATTATATCATTTTAAATTCTCTCTCTTCTTTCTCATTCTCTCTTATTCTTCATATTTGTATTCTCTCTCATTCTCTAACATTCTCTCTTTTTTTCTCTCACACTTTCTTTCTCACTCACTCGCTCCACTCACTCACCTTTTACTCTCACTCTCTTTTAATAATTCTAATACATACAATAAAATCTTAAATAATTCACATATACCCAAAATTCATTAAATTCGATAAAATTAATCAGTATGTCCTTCAAAATTTACCTAAACAATCATGTAAAGTTACTGAATCTCATACTAAATTTGCGAGACTTATTGCTAGAATACTATAACTCAAAATTCTACGACCCAGTCTGAGCAAACAACTGAATCTTATAAAACTACAACTGATAAAACTCAAGAAGGTTTAAAAACTATAAGATAATTTCATATTATTTCATATATAATATATTTATAGCAATTAATTTAGTTTTTATTTAAAATAATTTAAGTAAATATTTCGAATTTGCTAATAAGGTTAATGAATAAATTGAATACTATGGAAGCTAAAATTAATAATATTGAACAAAGATTGTCTAATAAATTAAAAAATCTCAAAAACTGCCTCGAAAACTATATCGAACAAAAATTTAATACAATTGATGATAGAATTATGAAAACGTATAATCTAACAAATGAAACTAATTTCATTAAAGTAAGTTGTATTTTATATATTAATTCTTATAATAAATTTATTAAACAAAGATAATAAATATTTTGTAATAGCAAACTATTAAAGCTACAGCAAAAGCTTTAATTGAGTACAATATCTATCCTATGGAGTAAGATCTTAAAGCAGCAATAGAAAAATATCTTAATAAAAATCTAAATAATTATCTAGACAATATGAAAGCAAAGCAATAGGATACTTATTATAAGGCTAATATTGCTGCACTAGTAAATATTTTTAATACTTTCAAATATTCAAAATATTTTCGAAATATTGTAGATATTTTACAATATCTAAAATATTTTGAAATACTGAAATATTTTAAAAATATTTGAATATTTTTAAATATTTTTTAGTGATTACTTTTAATTCATTAATATATTTTCAGTAATTTTAAAATATTCAAAAATATGCGAAAATATTTGTCT